TACTGCTCCACAATTAAAAGTTTGTTGTTTAGTTCTTTTCATTCATGTATGCCTGTGTTTATGAACCCAGCGATCACATGTTGTCAGGAATAGTGATTGAGAAAGAACCTTAAAGAATTAGAGATCCAAACTGAAACAGAAGCTGGAAACTGAGAGCAAGAGAAATAATGCAGTCATGTGGAAAGACAAAAGTAAGTGATCTTTCTGCAGAGTTATAGTCAAAGCAAAAGGACAGTTAGTCATGGAAGTTTTGTAACCTCCATCTGCCCTTCTGCTGTCAGGCAATATAGCAGGGAACTGGAAGGTGTTCAGACAAAAGGTTTGAGTGGTACCAAGCAGCCAAAGGGGTAGAAGAGACAAAGTCAAATCATCTGTCTTCTTGCATACTGTCGGGGAGGAAGCCCTAGCTGTTTATAACACCTTTACCTTCAAAATGTGCAGGTAAGTGTAATACTATCCACCTTTGAGGAGCAGTGCATGCCAAAAAAGCAATCAGACTATTGAAAAAAACAGATTTTTTTTGTGAAGACAAACAACGGGATAAAAGTACATGTATACTGAACTAAAAAAACTAAGAACTGTCCTTGTAGGAACTTGACAGAATCTCTGATTAGAGATAGGATTATTTGTGGCATTGCCAACACTTCATCACAAGAAAAGCTATTGCATGAGGCAAACTTGTCCCTTGAAAAGACTATCCAAATGCACAGGGCAGCAGAAACCAAGAGGGCCCAGGTGGCAGAGCTGACTGCACAAAAAGAGGTTATCTATATGGTAGGCATGAAAGCATGCGACTAGAAAAAAGCTACTTCATAGGGTGGAATATATGAAAGGGTTGTGGTCATGCTTGAAGACAGGCTGCAGATACAGGCAGACCTAGACAGGCTTGCAAGTTAGGTGGATCAGAACCAGATGAAGTTCAACATCAAGAAATGTAAAGTGCCGGCAGTGCAACGCTGTAGCCAGCAGAGCTAACAATACCTTAGCATGCATCAATCAAAGCATCTCCAGAAAAAACAAAAAAGTGATTCTCCCACTCTACTCGACATTGGTGAGACCGCAGTTGGAGTACAGTGTTCAGTTCTGGGCACCACACTTTAACGAGGACATGGTAAAGCTTGAGAGTCCAGAGAAGGGCCACCCATATGATCAGAGACTTGTGCGGCAAGCCATATGAGGAAAGGCTGAGGGATATGGGACTCTTCAGCCTGAAAAACAGAAGGTTGAGAGGGAACTTGGTAGCAGCTTACCGCTACATCAGAGGTGTACATAAAGGGCTCAGTGAACAACTGTTCACCAGGGCACCCTTGGAGAAAAGTAGGAGTAATGGTCACAAACTCCTGGAAGACTGTTTCAGGCTCAATATTAGGAAAAACTACTTCACAACTAGGGTGTCCAGACTGTGGAATAAGTTCTCTCCAGAGGTGGTGCAATCACCTACCCTTGAAATCTTCAAGAAGAGACTAGATAGTCACCTTGCTGGGGTCACCTGCCCCCCAGTTATCTTTCCTGCTTGGTGAAGGGAGCTGGACCTGATGGTCTTTCGAGGTCCCTTCCAGCCCCTAACGGTCTATGAATGTATGAATCAACTAGTAAGAAGTCACCTCACAGAGTGGAATTTTCCATTACCAAAGAGCATGCTAAAGAGGAGAGAGGGCAAAAGGGTTGGCATGCAGGCGAATGTGGAAGGCAACATGGCCCCAAACACTGGGCTGCATTTGGAAAGCTCTGTTTTAACTGCAACAAGAGAAACTATTTTGCCAGCTGCTGAAAATCCCAAACACAAAAACCTCAAAAACCTGAGAATATACCAGAAGAATTTTAGACATATATAGTAGAACCAAGCAAAAATCAGTGGGAAGGAGTGGATTACTGGCATCCAATATAAAAACAAACTATACAATCTTCCAGTCACTGTGGAACCTTGGGAGGTGACACCAATTTTGATTCTTCCAGCTTGTGAGAAACTGGATCTAGTTAAGTCTGTTCATGCAGTACAAGAAGACATAACACTGACGCCTCCAAATTATTCTCTTGGCCATCACACCCCAAATCTGATTAGTTTTAGGAGAAAAATAATTGTTCCAGAACACAAGAAACGACCATGTTCATCTGAGAAGATATGTACATATGCACACAAAGGCAAATACTATCATGCAGAAAGAAGAAAAATCAGCCTTAATAGTCTGTAGCCAATGAACTTTGTGCTTTGTGCGGAAGCACAGCTGCCAAAAGTGCAAATCAGTCACACCCCAGCATAAAGACTCAAGTCTATCAAGACTTGGAGCAAAAGCTTCCTACCAAAAACAAATCAGAAATTAGATTTCATACTTCTTTGGTCCAAGAAGAAAGTGAAACCTGCTGAAAGACTCACAGGGTACATCCAGATAAGCACATGTGTTGTTTGCAGCACTGCAGATCCATCTGTGGTGCCACAAACCACACATGCCACATATGCAGGCATTGCCACACTGCTAATTTACAGTGCAGTAGGTTTTTTTGACACTGGGAGATCCCGGTGTCAAAAAAATCCTGTGGCAGAAAAAGCGGCTGGCCAGTGACCGGATCGCTGCTATTGGAGCTCCAAAAGGCCCCCAGAACCCCAAGTAAGGCTGCTGGGGCCAGCCCAGGTACTGGGCTCAGCCTCTTCTACCTCAACCCAGGGCAACTTGCTATGCGCTCCCCAGGGACAAGTAGAAACAGCACAACTATGTGCCACTGCTATTTGCCCCCAGGGAAATGCATATGTGTGTTCATCTAAATGTGCCCACAGATACTTACTAAAAGAGCTGCAGAAAAGGGGGAATAGGAAAGTAAATGGTAAAGACTCACTTCTGGGTGATGTGCTAGTAACCTCTCCTCTGTAGATGGGCATTAATGGACTTTGGGGTTAATTTTTGTAATTATTGTTGTAATTATTATTATATTGAGGGATGATGTAGTGATAAAAGTTATAGTTTAGAGAGACTCCCTAATTTAGAAGAGTTGGGAATTGGGAGATAGTCCCTCAGTTAGGTAGTAGCTGTTAGTTAGTCTGAGACCAAGGGTCTGCAGAGGTTGCCGACTGCTCCATAATAAAGTTCATTGTTTAATTTTTTTGATTCACATATGCCTCTGTTTATTGAACCAGTGATCACTATAGCATGTGCATGTCCTGTATAATGAAAAAAAAGGATCTGATATCATGGATGAGGAACTAAAGTATACAAACAGCAGTGGTAGTGGCTAAAGAGGCATTAAGAAAACATTAAATATTAAGAAAATAAGAGTGAATACATAATATGATGTATACACATTACAACAGTAGAACTATTATTTACATAAAGGATTAAAGCCACACGCATTTTTTAATTTACTCATAAAAGAATCAGGTTTGTAAAATGTACAATATACAGTACAAATGAATTAACTGAATAATAACTGAAATTAATAATCAACTGAAACATAAGGAAGAAAAAGGTTTCTCTGCTAGATTAGTGGTATACCAAAAAGTCACACTGGAAAAAACTATATTGATGTGACAAGGTTGAGGATAATTGTTTTATACAGATGGTAGACAGGCCAACTAGAAGGATGCAGACAGTTTGAAAGTCTAGCACAAAGCAACAAAAACAATTAGGGGCCTCAGAAGTAAGACTTATGAGGAAAAGCTGAAAGAACTAGGGTTATTTAGTCTGAAGAAAAGAAGACTGAGGGGGGATTTGATAGAGAGAATGGAGATTGGCTTTTCTTTGTGGCTGTAGGGAACCGGACTCAGAGCAATGGCCTTAGGTTGCAGCAGGGGAAATTTAGGTAAAAACTTTCTCACTATGAGGGTGGCCAAGCATTGGAACAGGCTACCTAGAGAAATTGTGGAATCTCCATTCTTGGAAGTTTTCAAGAACAAGTTAGACAAACAATTGGCTGGGATGGTTTAATCATAGATGATCCTGTCTTGAGCAGGGGGCTGGACCAGATGACCAAGGATGGTCCCTTCCAGCCATACTTTCCTATGATCCTAATGTCTGCCTGCTATATGTCTCATAATGAAGCCAGGGAGGGCCACAGGTCATATTCAGTCAGAGTGCAGCTCCAAAGTTTCAAAGGGTGCTGCCCATTTATCTTTCTCTAGAAAAGGATTCTTATTTTTCAGAACACTTCGTGAGAGACGAGAACAATTTCCTTTGGAACAACTCCAACAGGATGGGTGCAAGAATCTTTCTTCTGTGTGTGAAGATACTGCACTGCCTTATGCTCTGTTATATGTACTGTGTTAGTGTAGTGAGTAGTAGAGTTTACAGCTGTGTAGCTGTGCATATTGCTTATATTTAGCTGCCAGTTGTGGCCTGTTTGTGTGTCTGAAGTCTTCTACAATGAAACACAAATCTTAAAAATGTTGCCAGGAGATTTTTGGTTTTAGATCTTTCATTTCACTTGAGAGATGTTTCATTTCACATATAACAGGGTCACTTCTGATGGACTACACAGCTGAGAAGACTCATTATTGTCAAGTTTTCTGGAATTGTACACGTGCTCAATTTTTTCCCTTCAGATCCACCTGTTTCCAATAATGTCAAAGAATTAGTATGGATTTGAGGGTTTTTTTTGGCTAATTCCATCTGCATTTAGCCAAACCACACCCCTTTTGGAGTCTCTGCCAATGCTAATGTAGAAGATGTGCAGACGAGGAGCTCTGTTCTCCAGAAATAGCAGTACAATGTTGACGAATCCTCAATGAAGTAAAGCGGCTGCTGTCAGCCCCTTCAACATATAAAAAATTATAGGTATCCACAACGCAGGGTGATCCAAAGCATCTGCTGATCCCTAGCATAACAAACCCTCTTGTTCTTAGCAAACAGCCTACAGAGCAAATGGAAAGATGATAAAGCAACTTAACTGTCTAGAACTGATAGACCATTGATGAAACAACAAAATGAAAGACAGGAGGATCTTGTCGTCTTATCCTTCACTCTCTTACTTACAGTGGCCACTTTTTTATTAGTGAATTAACACAGACTTACTTTTGCAGGCATCTGGAGCAGAGAAAGGCCTTCTGAGATCTCGGTAAAAGCCTGGCTTGCAACGTTGGCAGTGCTGTCCTTCTGTGTTGTGCTGACAGTTATCACAGACTCCACCGCTGCGATTCCCTGATGCTAGCCACACACCCACGTCTAAGTGACATGTGTCAGCATGTCCATTACATTTGCATGCTAGGATTGAGCCAAAGGAAACAAAAGATTCATTAAAAAAAAGGAAGGGTGGCAACATGTATAAAAGTTCAATGCAAATGCTGGAAAAGAAGTAGCTGAAACAGCACAGAAAATCAAATGTATGTATCAATGCATTGATGTTAGTAAATGCTAGTGCTGATATAACTAACTATTTAAGAATCATCCAGATAAGATGGATGCTTTGTTAGGAGGCCATTTATGAGTCCTGATCTTGAGTCAATGTGTTAGGTATTAATAAATGTGCAACAGTTTGCTTTTGTGTTTTCTCTCTTCGGTGAGGTCCTTTAACCTAACAGAACGAACATTTATTTTAACTTAATTTGACTCTACTCAGGGTCAGAAGATGTGATTTTGAATCTTACAGAAAGTTATATAATCAAAATAAATGTGCTCTGACATACACTGAAGATCATTGCCAATAAAAAATAAAATGCGAAAACTTATTTGGGAGAGAATATGATAAATACAAGAGCAACTGAGGGTGAGGATGGTAACTTGGCAGAAGATTAAAAAAATACTGTAGTTTAAGGCATGAAGCTTGCACATACACCTGTTCTGAGTTCTCTGGCAATTGTTCAATATTACTAAATAAAACACAAATTTCTTTCTGCTCACCCCTCTACCCACCACTCCAGCACACTTAAGTCTGTCCTAAGTTTTCTCCAGGGCCAGGCAAAGTGGATCCTATAACATGAACAGTGGCAAATCTGAGCTATTTCAGACAGGGGAAAACACAGGCATTCTACAGAGCCCCATGGCCCTTCTGGAAAATACGCTACATATATAATATTAACCATTAGAGAAACAGACTTTGAGTCCTACAGTGTCCCCACTACAATTAAGGTGCAACTGCAGTAGGACAGAGGTCAACCTAGCTGCAGCCCATCCTCGAAGCAGGGTCAAAACATGAGGGCTGGGTTTGCAGCCCACCCTGAGCTCCATGCTGCTGCAGCAACACTGCTATACATAACCCAGCTAGCCAAGTGGAATATTTCAACTGTGTCCACATAAGCTATAGGCACACCTTTGGCTGCATTGTGGGTATCCCCTAAGACACCTTGGATTTGATTTTTCCAGAGTCACTCGGTGCCTGAAGCTGTCGCTGATTTCAGTTTGGATTATGAATGTTGAGCACATCCGCATTTCAGCCTTAGGACTCCAGCCCCAGTTAGGCTCATGCATCCAAAGCCAGCAAGCTTTTTTAAGAATTTGACCTCAGTTTTTAATATTTGGATCATCAAATACTGTTATTTTAAAATTTCCTGGAAATACTGAAAGTGGCAAAATGAAAACCTCCAAATATACCTACATCTTCATTGCTATCTGTTGGATTTTCTAAACCAGAGGTATCAAATTCATCAGGCCAGACTGCACTCACAGACTTGCCCTGCACACTGGATTCAGCATACAGGACTGGTCCAAGGCAGCTACTGCATGTAGTGGGTTCCCTAGACTGGGTCCTAGCAGTGTACCTAAGGCTTGCAGGCTGTATCTTTGACATCCTTGATCTAAACAGCTGTTAGTTGTAATTGGCTTATCCTCGTACACAAAAGGCAAAACATGAAAGGTGAACATACTAATCATCTGTAGTGATGCCACTTATCCAGCATCCAATATTTTTTGGTAATCTGCACTATGCCCACAACAGAAACCAACATCATGAGGAGTTGTGCTTGGATTCCACAAGGATGCCAAAAATAGAGAGCATATTCTCCACAGAATTTACATGAAGCAGCTTTGCAAACAGAGCTGCTTCCATGGTTTAAACATGCAGTGTGTGGTGATCTTGATTTGCTACTGTCTGTCATTCAGCTATTTACTATCTTTCTGAAGCATACAGGAAAGGTGTGCAGTAAGGCATTTTATTTATGCTGACAGCCCCGAGGCACTTTTAATTACTTACATCGGCACTCTCTCGGGGCTCCGGTTTTGCCATTTGCAGCCTGCCAAGGCTGGTCATTGTAGAGTGGAGCGCAGTGCTGACAGTGGAGGCCTGCTGTATTGTGCTTACACATGCACTTTCCATGGACCTAGTAGACGAAAGGAGAACCAGGATCATTCACAACAAAGACTTCAATCCATTTGGGGTAAGGGCAGTGTTTTTATCTGTGCTTGTACAGCTCCACCTACAATGGAACCCAATGCTGAGAAGGATATCTGAGGACTATTGCAAATAGCAAATCACTGTTAAATACCAACTGATAAAAAGAAAAGGGGTTGTGTAGCATCTGCTACTAGATCCATTAGCTTGGATGTAGTCAATAGGTAAACAGTTTGTAGGTATGCTTTCAGCTGTGTGTGTGTGCGCGTGCACGTGCACACATACTGCATAATCACATCACACGCTGTTGTGATTTTCATAGGTTTTTGCATGTGAACCAGATTTCCAGTGGAGACTAGGTGAAGCCAAAATCCAGCCATTTTTAGGAAACACCACAGAATCTTCCTCTTCAAAAAGAAAAAGAAAAATTTCACCCCAGCAAGAATCACACTAACAGTGATACTTCATCTATAGACCCACCCACCTCCAAAATGAGGGAAAAATAAAAATAACTCTTTTAAAAAAGAAATAATAGTCCTAAGACAAACATATTTACTGACTCCAGTATAGAACACACCCTAAGCATAGTTTTTAACCCCAAAAAAGTGAAAAGAGGGAGAGAAGGTATGAAGTTCACTAGGGACTATTGCAAGTAATTTATATGGCAGGTGAGCAGATAACATGGTGATGGGCAGGAGTATAAAACTCTCAAGACTGATAGACATACAGAGGGATGGATAATTGATGTGTACAATCATTTTAGTAGCATATTCTCTCTGTAGCCCTTGGTTATCATAAATACCAGTCATAAGCATAAATACATAGTTAGGGCCAGATCTTCAGCCCTTCTGATTGCTCTGCATCACTCCAGTGGTGGATAACAACCAGAAAACTTAGGTAATGACTGTAAAGGCAACAAAGCCAGCTCTGTATTAACTACCCTTCTGCTCTCATGGTGGTCTGGTTCCTGAGATGACAGGGACAACTTGTGTGCAGCCCTGAATCTGGTGTATAAACTCAAGGATGAGCAGGAGCTCAGACACATGCCCTGTGCCTAATGCTCTTATTGGCTACCTGTAGGCCTCTCCCTGCTCAGTATCTAGGCGCTTTGATTTGATCTTTGGAGGCACTCAGTTCTCTCCATTGTCTGTATATGGAACCTAAGCACCCAATCCTGTCAATTTAGATCATCTTAGGGGTAAGGCATCTAATTTTAAGTTTTGCAATGCCTAAGTGGAGATGCAAAATCACTTGGATTTTCATTAGCGAGGGACAGCCTAAACATTAAGGGCTAAATTATTTGCTGATGTATCCCTATGGAAATTGATGATAACACCAGTGCAGGATCTGACCACATGGATCTTTAATACGACTGAGAGCTACTAAATTGCACATGCATACCCCAGCACCACTGAGGACCCTTTCTACCTTTGAACCGGATGCTACCCAAGAGACAGCAGTCTCATCACTACCATCTTCCTTCTGGGTTCCCAATGTTTAGCTCATCCTGAGCTCTCCATAGGAGCTTAGCAGGGGAGCACTGCTGAAGTATTCAAGCCATTTCTGAGGTTCATTGCTCCAGGCAAAATCAGCGCTTTCAGCAGCTTCAAGCCTCAGCCATGACCAGACTTCCAGACCTTAGATCAGTGCAAACCTGTACATGCCTGGGATGTTTCTAGCACTGTGCTATCTTTAGTGTCCATCCACCAGTCTAGAGAAGTAATGTTTGTGAACACTTAGTGGAGGAGATTCATGCAACAATATAACAGAACTATCAACTGAAACAGGGAACTGTTAATAGTTAAATCTTACTGTAGTAAAAGAAATATAGCAAATATTTGACCACTTTCTTAAATCCATTGGAGTAAGAGGGTTGAGTAGTTGTACGGTTGGATATTTTTGTTGAGTAAGTGTTTCACTGGAAATTGAGAAGAGGACATTTTTAAATGTAATTGTTGTTCTGACCAAAGACAGGCTGTTGGCTGGTCCCCAATCTTTGTTGGGTTCCATATTTAAGTATTTTTCTATGGTGAGCTGGGTTCATCTAGGTTTTAAATGTTAAAATTGCAATAAACATAAAATACATTATTACTCCAACACTTTTGTGAGATGGATAAGTATTTTCTCCCATCTATTTGATGAGGATAGTGAGGCAAATTGACTAGTGATGCCAAAGCCCACTGAACGCCCCTAGGGTCAGGTTATGATAATCTTACAGTAAGAAGTAACTCAGTAGGAGCATTTAGGGAGTGAGAAAAAGTTCTATGTGAGGATAACACCTTCTAGGCCTAAGTGATTTGCCCAAGACCACTAAGGGAAATCAGGAGTCAGAAGCAAGACTGCAGCTTAAGAATGACTGCTCTCAGGCAACGCTTAGTTGACTAGATCAAGCCTCTTTCTGCAGACTGCACCTTGGTTTTAATTTTACTAAACTGACAGTGGCATTCAATGGTGATGCTTTTTCTGTAGGGAAGATATGACAGTTGCAAGTCTAGGTTAGTTCAAGAGCAGCCTGTTCTGTGGAATCTTTTTTTGCAGGGTTTCTTTCATTAAATATTGCTGTCATCTCAGATGCTGCAGTACAGGCCAGGTGAACTGTAGGAGACTGCAGGTGTTCCTGGCTGACCTCTGATTTATGTGAGGCAATTTCATCAATCATCCCTGAGTAACATAAAACAGTGCTGATGATCATGCTGTTATAAGCAATATGGAGCTTTTGGAGTGCTTCTGAGCTTCTACCTGATGAAAATTGGTAAAGGCTTCCTGGGGTATCAACTGAGCAATCACGCAGAAGTTTGCTTTGCTTTGTTTTTAAATAAAAATGTACTGAAAGCACCAATATGAAAATAAATGTAAAACAATGTTCAAAGCACTTCAAATGAGATTCCTTCTTAAGACAGGATCCAACTGCTACCCCAGCTCACATAATCATTTCAGTGGTTTCTGCTTTTTAAAAGTGAGAGTTGAACAATAGCTTATTACCTGGCTTCTCTCCACCAGCTATGCAGAATGGAAGCTAATACAGTTAACAAGCTAGCTCAGTTTATACGAATTAAATTGATAAGCTACAGTCATCAGCCCACTTTGTGCAGCTTTGTACTGCTTTATTCAAAAGCCAGCTTCACTGGCTAGCTGCACCTGGTTTTACAGCTGGTATTGCAGTAGCAAAATACACCAGCCAAACTGTCCTTGAGAATCTGGCCTAAGATCTAGATATGCTCTTAATTACTATTGTAAGATGTACCTTAAACTCTGTTTCACTTGTACTTGTATAAGTGTGCTCCTTCTACCTATACTGTTTGTCACTGGGACCTGCAGTAAAAACAGATTCTGGGGGGAAAAATGTGCAAGTAAACATAGGACTATGGCATAATCCTGAAATAAACTGAACAGAAAAGAGCTTTGATCACACTGTAAACAGCTCGTACTTGGAATGCCTGCTCCCACACACAAACATGCAAGCATGCTTTCTGTACGTAGTGTTCATCTCAAAAGTGCCTCCTGTGTTATTTACTAAGCCCACCTTCATCAAGTGGTCATATCTCTTGCTTGACAGGGAGTTTAACAAAGTGATGACATTTCTGTTGATAGGTGTATGTGTGATTTTTTTGTTCATCACTTAGTTGTAAATAACTTGTCATAGCTCTGGACCATATTTGTGTGAAACAAATACCTGAGGATGTCCTATGGTGTTCCCAACATGACTTATATCAACATTTCCCACCACAGCAGGGTTGACCACGCTTACACATAGAGTGGCCATCATAGAGGACATTCTGGTTTCTCTTTCTTCAAGAGAAAAATAGAGGGCATCAAAGGCATTCGGTTTCATATCAACAGAGGACAACCGGACTGTCCTCTATGATGGTCACCCTACTATGCATCCCCCCACTTTAGCTGCCACCACTGTCTCCTCCCATCAGCTGAGGAGAATCATCAGTTGGTTGCAGGGAGAACTGGTGGCAAATCAATGGCCATGATGCACACATACCCTCCTCTCACTCAGGGACCTTTTGCACCCCCTCAGAAGGGCATATCCCACTGATTTATACAGTTCAAGGGGGATGGAGCCACCCAATCCATGAATGTATGCATTTGGTGGGGGAAAAGCAAAAGGGAGCCTGGGAGAGAAAATTGTGTATTCCATAGCTAACCGACCTGCGTCTCCTGGATCAGGATTGGGCTTTTAGCATGAGCGTGCAGGACTTTTGCAGCCATACCACCACAACTTGTCTGACTGTCTATTGTCAAGCTAGTGCATAGATCTTTACAAACATATACTGTAGGAGAATCACTTATTTAGAGATAGGTTGTAGCTTGGATCTCACACCTATGCAGGACAGGCAGGTGTAAGACACCATCTAAGACCCTCTCTACCCAAAATAATTTGTGTGCTTACTTCTCTTAATCAGGAAGGTAGAGTATGGGTGGGGAATGAGTGTAGCTTAGCTCCACATACTTTACCTGTAGGCCAGAACATTTGAGCAGGTACATGAGGCATAATTCACTGCCAGTCCTTGCTTCTCTTCAAGAGCAAGAAGGAGACAGGGAAATAGTTGCGTTACAGAGGTGTGCAGCATTCTCTTGTTGGACTGCTGCAGGGGTACATATCTTGCTCAGAGATGTGCTTAAACCAGGGGTGGGTAAAATGTGGCCTGTAGGCCAGATGTGGCCCGCCAGGCCATTCTATCTGGCCTGCAGGGCCCCTAAAAAATTTAGAAAATTAATATTTATCTGCCCTTGGCTGCCTGTCATGCGGCCCTTGATGGCTTGCCAAAACTCCGCCCAAAGTAATTGCCCGCCCCTGGTTTAAACCCATAGCCCAGTCCTTCTAGATCAGCTCTTTCCTTGCCATTAGCCATACAAAAGAAACATGTGGCAAATCAATCAGCCACCAATGAATGAAAAGTAAATCATAACAATGGAACTAAACAGCAGTGACAAAAATTGCAAAGACTCACATGCTCATGAATTTCAGAGAGATATCTG